ATGGTCGCAAAATTTTGCGCCAAACGTCTTTCACTCTTTCATTATCTCTATCAGACGTAAACTTTTGTCAGTGATCATGTTTCGCATCCGTACGGCGTTGCCCTCAGCACAGTCGTATTGAAGAAGTGGGCACATTCCGTCCAATTTTGAAACTTTTAAATTTGGAAATATTCAGAACAGTGGCAGAAATAACAGACGCAAACGAGGGATCTCATGCAATTGCTCGGCGCCAAGTTGAAGCACATTTTCGACGATTGCGTGAAGAACTTGATGATCAGGAACAAACGGCACTGGCGCGACTTGATACACACGTATCTGATCGAATTGACACACTGCGGCAGCATCAGCAAGAGCTTGCTTTCATAACATCACAGGTATGGCATTGCAGATGCCATTTTTGGGCATCTTTAGGTCTAGAATATTATAAATAATTGGCCAACCCACGAGTTGCCCGTGCGAAGATACGTTTTTGCATAGTTCCCCGCAGTTTTTGTCGCCACCAGCATCGATTTTTTCGGCACATGCTTCTAGCTAAACAAACTAAAGCTGGCCGCCAGAACTGGCAGGAAACACCCTCTTAAAATCTCAGCTTTCTAGCTTTCCTGGCTCCTGAGTTAGCAACTTACTGGAAAAAAACTTTCATGGGTCGGCACGTGGGTGCCATGCATACCCGATGTCTGGGTTTGAGCTCGCTGAGAATTGTTTGGACGGGAAACATCCTCTTAAAACTATACACTTTTGCTTTTCAAATCCCCGAGTTATCAAATTATCCGAAAAAAATTTTGGCAAGCCTGTACTTGGGTACCACGCTTACCCGTGGGGCTGGGTTTGAGCCCACTAACACCTACTCGGACGAGGAACATCCCCTTAAAATTTCAGCCTCCAAGAATTTCTGGTTCCCGAGTTAGCAGCTTACCCGTAAAAAAATTTGGGGGGCTTTTGCATGGGTACCACGCGGGTAAGACCGCCTATTTTGGGGATGGGGGCCTGTACTTGCATGAAGAGTAAGTTCCCAAAGTTTCAGCCCTGCAGCTTTTGTAGGTCTCGAGATGAAAAATCGGTACAGAGGCC